GTTTAGACTTCTAGAATCATTATTTCATACGATGAATTTGTTCTCTTTTGATGCATTGAATTTACTTCAAATGCTTTCCTACAATGACACATATTTCATGATTCATCAAGTGAGAAACCTTTTAGAACATGAATCACTTGTATACTAGCTAAGTCATTAGGAAATTAAACTCCTTGAATTACCACTTTATTGGTTACCAAGTTCTTTAGGGTTTAACAATCTCAATAAATAGGTTTACAATAAGATCACATCATGGGAAAGAAATATTCATTATAAACATGTGTATGTATTACATAATATGTCTTACATTCTCCCACTTGATCGTTGGTATAACTCATTGTATTTTCTTATTGAGAATCATAAGACCGGACTTATTTGTTAAATCATTGCTTTTATTTGGTCAAAATAATTATCTTAGCTAATTTAGCAAACAATGAGAGTCATGGCAGGAACATATTATTTTGCAACATGATGGTCCCTTTTATGTCTTATATAAAGATTCATTCCGTTATCGTAAATCCAACCACAAATAATTGGTATGCACATTGGAAACAAAATGTAAAAGATTCAAAAGTCACTAAGAGCTATATATATTGTTAAAAATATGCTAAACATAATCATACAATTTTAGTAGCTATCCATTAGACCCATAATATCTAGATGTTCTTTAATGTCGTTGGATATTTGTGACCATACGCTTTTGTAAATATGTTTCTGCCATAAGTGTAGTACATATATGGATAATGACAAACTTTTCTCTTTTGAAATCTTACTTTATTGATGAATATCAATCTTAATGTCCATATACTTGGATCCTTTAGATATCATGTCTTACGTACAAATATGATTACATATTTGTTATCATATAAAGAGTCGAAGGCTTATGGTTTCAGACTCAAAGATAATTTTGCAATCATAATTAACTTTATAGAAGCCTCATAATATTGTCACATGCTCATCCTTCTTATTGGACATTTAAAGCAATTACAATTATAAGCTTTTCCATAATAATACATTTCATTTGATGAGATACACTTTGCTAAAATTTTAATGCTTAAGACCATTACGTCCACTGAAATCTGAGTTTAAAATCCAACCACTTGTGGATGTGTTGATTTCTTATATGTGACAATTGATTTCTTGTTTCTTTAGGTATCTCAAAATTTATATTTAGCTTTCCATTTCTTTATGCATAGGAACAATATTAGAAGAACACTTCATCATGTCAAATCTCTCAAGAAATTTTATATATACTTAAGAGGATAATCCTAACATATCAAGTGATCTATAATGGAAATTTTCATTCTAATCACATAGGTTTCTTTAGTAATATTTAAAGTTCTTACAGAGATATTTCTTAATTTCATGTAATAGACCAAAATGACTATTACCCTATACAACATCAAAATTATCAACTTGAGGTATATATATGGATTTATGCTTTCTTAGAAACCAGATTACCTAATGGTTTCATCTTATTTTAGATACCATTTCTCAAGGTTTGTTTCAGTTCATAAATTAGTTTCCTTAGTTTGTAGATCATATCTTCTTTTGCGCTTCGATTATGAAGGATTTAGGTTGGCACATACATGTTTCTTGTAAGTCTTTATTAAGAAAGGCAATTATTTTATCCATTTAGGAACTCAAGATCGTACTGACCTACTAAAGCCATGATAATTCTTATGGAGTATTTTATAGATTCATGAGGAAAAGACTCAGTCTAATCAATGCTTTCTTTTGATTGAAACCTTTGGCAACAAGTCAGACTTCATGTCGTTCAATATTTCATTATAGTCGAGTTTGGTTTTAAAGATCCACATGCACTCAACTATTTTATCTTCTCAAGATAATTGAACGACGTCCCATACTTCATTTTAAGCCATCGGATTTACTTCATCTTTCTTGGCATCAATTCATTTATCAGAATTAACATATTATATGGCTCTGAATGGGAAATAAGATCTTTAATATTCAACTCTTAAGATTCTACTTTAAAATAGTACATATTAGAAATAGAAAATCTACTCATACAAGTAGATCTTCTTAATGCTTGTTCCTCTTTACCTTAATGTACTTGATCATTGTCAGCAACATTTTCATCATGGAGTATATGATCATTGATTCATAATTTAGGGCAATATGTTATTTACCCTAACTTTTTGAATACCCATTTCTTTACCTTTATTACTCCCACTAATGTTGACATTTTTATATATCTGACATTACTGGTTTCTATTATTATTGTTTTTTGCTAAATGGTAAATATCATTCATGGAATGAAATATTGATTACAAAATTGTTGAACCAGAATTTGCTTTAAAAGCTATTCTATTCTTCGAAGCCGCAAAAAAAAAAAAAATTAAAAAGACTCCTAAGAAACAAAGGAAATAACACATAAGACAACCACAAAATGATGATCTTGGGGTTAATTAAAAATAGAACAAGTGACAACATAGACTCCCTAAACATAGCACTTCTTGAAAATCCTGGAAAGAACAGAAGAGGCAAGAGTAATAGCTGAAAGTCAGTTCACATGAGCATTCAACGGGAGGTGACTTCAAGCAGTTTCGACGGAGGCGGCAGCTACGGGAACATCGCAGGAGGAGGAGGTCGAGCAAAAAAAAAAAAAAAAGCTAACTCGGCGGAAGAGCCAAGGTGATGATCCGATGTTAGGCCGCTGACGATGAAGAACAACAGGTCAAGCGTAGGCAGTAAATCAGCTCCTCATCTGGACACGCGACACAAACTTGCGGCAGAGATATCAAGGGTAAACAAAATGGCTTCACCGGAGCTATGAAGCAGCGAAATAGAAGCACATGAGGAGAGCAAAGATCTCCTCAATAACACGTGACTGAACAAGGTAGCAAGCGCTCCACAGTCAAGCACCAGACACCGACAGGTCGTCCTCAAAACCCAAGGAATTGACGTTCGGAAGTGAGAAGTGAAGCCTTGAAGCAAACCGTTGAGTTGCCATGGTTTTTATTATTACATACTATGGTTTCGACAATATATCCCTTAGATTTCTCAGAGTAACTTATAAATAAACCATTGATCTTTCTGAAATCTAATTTCCTTTCATGTGGACTATATGTTCTTGCTTTAATTTGCCATCATCATACTTTCAAATGTGTCATACTAAGTTTGCAGCCTTTATGCAGTTTAAAGGTGTCTTGAGAACTGCTTTGCTGAGAACCGTATTCAAGATATAAGATGCAGTGTATAATGCAACTATCCACAAGGATATAAGTAAGTTTTCATTGATTTATTATGAACCTAACAATTTCCAAAAAAATACGGTTATGCCTTTCAACTACATCATTATGCCATGGAGAACCAGGTTATGTACTGATATAATTCTTAACTTTTGGAGAATTTTGGCAAAAGGTCTAAGACATTATCTCTTTCATCATATTTGCCATAAATTCATTACCTTTATCTGACCTTATGATTTTCACTTTTATATCTTAATGTCTCTATATCTTAATTATGAATACTTGTAATGTATTCAAAACTGAGACGTTTATGCAATAGATATACACAACATTAATGTGAATACTTATTAATAAAGGTAATTGAATATTTTTCATCTCCAAAAAAAGAAAACGTCAAAGGGTCTACAAATATTTGTATGTATAATTTCAAGAAACTTTGCATTTCTTGTGGCTTATTTCTTAGTGTGTTTATTTTGCTTATCCTTAATGCAATATATACACATATTCTTGTTGGCAAAATCAAGATTCACAATAATTCCATCTTTTACCAACCTAAATCATTTTATTAGAATTATATTCATCTATTTTAGGCCACAAGAGACACTTATTATTAGTACATATTTTATGCTTTAATTTTTCTTTAATGTGCATAATTAGATGTGTTTTAAAAGGTTGATCAGCCACGTTAACTATAATATAGGCCATCAACTAATATTCTTAAACCGATTCAATTATGGTTCAAGAATTAATTAAAACAACCATCTCTTTAAGTTGATTTAACAAACGAGTCATCAAGTTTTCTTAATAAAACTAAAATTTATGGGAAATAGATGGAACGTAAAGTGTTTTGAATAAATCCAAAAAAATCACTATTAATAATGAGGAGTGCTATTCAGCTAGTACTTCACTCTAATTCCCATAAATAAATAGTTTTCACTTGAATTCATAATGAGGAGTGCATTCATTATTTCTCATCTCAGAGATCGAAATAGAATCCACATATAATGTATGATTCAAAATTTCCGAAAACTCTCATGTCGGGTTTATACCCAAAAAACTTAAACATTATTTAGATCTAATTTTCATTACATAAGTATAGATCTACTATCATAAACATAAATCTATTATACTTTCCAGATTAGTTAGATGTTTATAACCATTACCTCTATACCACATGTAAACATGATTTTATATGAATCCTAAGATCTTTAACATCTAGTCTAATCACATCATATAACTATAAGAAGAGATTTGCGGAATACAACAATTTAGATCATGGAAGATGACTTCTTAATATTTAAGTTGGAAGTTATGACTTCTCTCCTCTTATCTACAACCTTTCTCTATGTGGTTCTTTAGGTTTTTCTTTATGTTTTCTAAGTTGGAAGATGGTCCAAGAATAACTATTAATAGGTGGGGGAAAGTGACTAAACTTGCTCATCAAATTTCTATTACTTTCTTACCAAATCTTTCTTACTTCTTGACAAATTTCTTTTTTAATCTCAGCCATCCATCAAAGTTAAATTATAATGACAAATTTTTGGACTTATAGAGTCGTTCTTTTATACAATAATTTTGTTCTCGTTTGATGCATTGAGTTTACTTCAAATGCTTTCCTTCAATAACACATGTTTCATAAGTCATCAAGTGAAAAACCTTTTAAAACATGAAGCACTTGTTCATTAGTTAAGTCATTAAAAATATTAAACTCCTTGAATTATCATTTTATTGTTACCAAGTTCTTTAGAGATTAACAATCTCAATAAAATAGGTTTACTATAAGATTACATCATAGGAAAGAAATATTCATTCATAAACATGTGGATGCGTTTTGTTACATAGCTGCGTTGGGAACTGGAATATAATATTGGGGGATCATGATTCCCACTTAACACACATAGTCAAGTCTCTCTAATAGCATAGGTTTCTCAATCTCAAGATACCAAATTCAATAAAAAAAAAAGACAAAAAAAAAAAGACTCCTTCATAGCTAAATGAAATTCAAATCTCTGATTCCAAATAACCTCTATGTCACTGGAACTGTGACATTGGTAGCTAGATCAGCTACCTAGAGGCTTTCTCCCAAGAAATGAACCACTGATTCTTCCTCGCTTGGATCAGCATCTAAAGATTTCACTGGGACAGTAGATGCTTTTATCTGAAGCCTTTCTCCCAAGAATTGAACCATTGATTCTTCCTCACTTGGATCAGCATCTAAAGATTGGACAGTAGATGCTTTTATCTGAAGCCTTTCTCCCAATAATTGAACCATTGATTCTTCCTCACTTGGATCAGCATCTAAAGATTGGACAGTAGATGCTTTTATCTGAAGCCTTTCTCCCAAGAATTGAACCATTGATTCTTCCTCGCTTGGATCAGCATCTAAAGATTGGACAGTAGATGCATTTATCTGAAGCCTGTGAGTCTCCAGCAACTGCTCAGAATACAGTTTCTGAAGTAAAGCCTTGTGTCTTTTCCCAAGCTTATGAATCTCCATCACATCCTCAGAATACGTCACAATGTTACAAGTTTCGCACTCAAGGATTACCGCCTCTTTATTCTCACCTTCTCTCTTCTTTCCCCTTCTTTTCACCGCCTTTTTATCCACTTCCTGAGGCAGCACATTCGTCACTTCTGTGAGAGCTTCTGGTTGTGGAGCTATAACGATGGAGGTTGAAGAAGCAGCCGTCTCAGTAGCAGCTTTATGTTTTTTGCCTGACTCATGACTCCTCATGATTGTTTCATTATGAGCTCCAACACCACAAAGGTCGCACCAAAACTTAAACAGCCTTTTCCTTTTAGAAGGTTCCTTCAAACCACCTTCAACATCCTTTGCTTTACGCTTAGCTCTTCGATGACGAGTTTGAGTATCCTTTCCTATAGGACCAAGCCTATCCTGCAACACAGGAAGCAAAGAGAAAAACATATCAGAAACAAAGACTTATCAAAATATGAAAGAAAAAAAAAACAATTACCAATATAATAAACTTGTCCTTCCTAGACTCCAATAATGGTGTTTCTTTAGCTGCTGTAGCCTCAAGCATTATCTGTAGTGGAGGCATTTGCTGCATAGGTGATGTAACTAGATTTTGGGGGTTTGTGTACATGGCAGGATCACTGTAAGTACGCTTCAGTTTGACCAAGTTGTTATTGTCCTGGTTCTGATGTGGAATCATCCTTTGAGTGATCCACATAGGTATCTTATTCTCCTTCTCTGGGATATTTTTTATAGCCATTTCTCTCTCGATGGACATCTCATGGACAACCTCAGCTATAAGCTCTCTTCTTCTCGCAGTTTCTGCTGCAATGATCTCTTGACGGATTTGCGCCTTCTCCATCTCTCGTTGTTGAGCATTGTACCCTTCAAGAGCAGGCCATGTCCCTATGTATTTAGGCGTGTAAAAGAATAAAAATATCAATTCGCATAAACTACTACACTATAAATTTATTTTGATTCCACAATCATGTTTCAGATTCAGTTACTTTTAAAAAACATTTACAAGAGATTTTGCCGGACTTCAACACAGTTAAGTTGCAGAAACTATATAACTGAACGTATTCTACAGACAGTCTCATGTTTGAAATATGTTAAGCCAATCAAATCATGACAACTTGTTATCAGTGACAAGAGAGAGATGAGAAGGAGGAAACCTGGGACTGGTAGCGCCGAGACGAAGGCAAAGTTTGGATTCAGAGAGTGAGATGGCGGCGTGTCCATCACACGAGGTGGCCGATTAGTGTCGGTGGCTCTGAATCTGAACTCCATCCTAATTCAAAATTCAAAATTCAAAATTCAAAATGTGGAGAGAGAGAAAGAGAGAGAGAGACAGACAGAGAGACAGAGTGAGAGAGCGAAAGGTTTTATAACGTTTGTAAAAGCAATTTCGTAAATAGGTTTTTGTTTTGGTCAAAGAATAGTATTCTCTGTTCAGGAAAGTGAATTTTGAATTTTCTGTTCAGGAAAGTGAATTTTATGTTTGACGAAAACGGCCCAAAGGGCAAATATGTTTCCTAATTTTTCTAAGGAAATTCAAAATTACAAAAAGCTTCTAAAAAATATTAGGATCGCGTATTTAACTAAGAATTTAAAGTAATTTGTATTAAATGACAAATTCACTATTATTTAAAAATGAATTTAAAAAAATGTTTTTAAATTTAGTGTTATCAATTTTTTCAGTTGATAAAACAATTTGAAGTTCATTGTTTTTGAACAAAATTTAAGTTAGATATTATAGAGTGTTATAAATGTTTCTAGAGTGTTTGTCGGGAATTCTTTAGTTATAAAAGAAAAGTCAAATCTCATTTTTATATGAAATTTAAGAGTGGTTTAACAAACTCACACTAAATTTTTAAATCCACCAAATCATCTAAAAAATTTATTAAAATCAAATCACTTTCAGTTTTAAATTTTATTTTTGCTAATAAATTTCAAATTTAATATATCTGAAAATTAGTTCTATAATTTTGGATACTGAAATTTCAGATTAAAACGATGAAAGTATATATAATATATTATGAACAATTTGCTAAATAGAATAGAAAACAGCATTGTTGGCCCAATGCCATAAAAATAATTTTGGTGCATTTTGGACTTTTGCTGCCCTTAGGTTACTTAAAGTTTTATGTATAATATTTTTGGAATTGTAAAAATAAAAAATTAGTGTATATAAAGTAAAACAATCATATAAAAAATATTTATATTGTGTAAATATTGGTAAAATGTAACTCTTTTTTGTTCTACAAATATTAAAAAGTTTAGTCTTCTTTGAATACATAAAATCTAATTTCAGTTAATTACATTATATGCATTCTTTAGAACTTACAATCCACCTAATGTACATTTACGTACGAAAAGAATATATGAGTTTAACTGGTAACAATCACATGAACATTATGGATAAAATTTTAAGAATTTTCACGAATAATAAAAGAATATGAATAAAATTTTAAGAATTTTCACGAATGATTATTCTATATCATATTTAATAAGGAGTAATATTGTTCTACATTTTCTATAGTAAAAATAATAATAAGAAATAGAAAAAAATATTCTTTATAAATGATAAAACAATTTAGGAACACTAGAAAATATATTATGTTTTGTTATTCTTTGATCATCATTCATATCCATAATCTATTATTTTCTCTACTATCTGAAATACAATAGATTGCATGAACTAATGTTCAATCATACATCTACCAACACTGGAATGTAAAATCCACCAACATATGTATAATCTACGAAACCAGGATTACTTTATCTATCAACACATATATACTCAATGAAATTGAGATTTAGGAAGATTATTGGTAGTTTTTGAAATGGTTTTTTGGTTTTTGTGTCTCAAAAACTATTTTAATATCCAATCAATGATTGTAAAAATGGGAAAACTAGTTTCTGAAATAACTGTTAAATTGTTTACAAAAATTAAAATCTGATTTTTACTAGCTTTACAAAAGTAATTGGCGCTGGTTTTTTTATTTATTTATTTCGTTTAAATTTTTAAAATTTTTTTTGTGGCAACTCCTTTATCCTTATTACATGATTATCAGTTCTTATTCACGTTAATAAGCATTAATTCACCACTGAAATCTATAAATTTTATTATAATAAAATAAAAAACACTAACATTTTTATTTGATTTTTTATTCTCATACTAAATTTGCACCAATAACTAATTTATGCAAGTTTCAAAAAAAAAAACTAATTTATGCAATCAGTTACTATAAAATCTAATTTTATATTAATTTACAATATTTGGATTTCATAATTTATATACCTGTACTGCATTTTTGAAATGTAATTAATTTGTAGTTATCTTGTTTTGAAAAATAGTTATAATTGTGTATTTTCATATAATATATATAAAGATTTTAATTAAAATCCGAAATATAACTAGTAAAATTATTTAATAACTAAAGCAAGGACAAAACAAAATTTTTTTTTTTTATTATATTCATTTCATTAGTTTTAGAAAGAAACACAAAAAACTAAAATCTAAAATATAGAATAAACAATATAATATATTTTAAAGTAAACTTTTAATAATAAATATATTTATTCTGATAATAAGAACACTTTTATTTTTATAGCTTCAAAAAAATTATATTATAATTTAAAAATAGTTTAAAAACCAAAAACTAAAATCTAATGCTGCCATTCAAACTTCTTGAAAATCTAAAAACTCTAAAGAAAAATGAAAAATAAAAATCTAAAAACTAAAAATTAGAATTAAGTAACCAAAAATTAAAATATAAAAACCACACAAACAATCATCACCCTAATTTACGTATTCATATTTTGTCTACAGCGTGTAGAGTATGATTTTTGCTTGATTCGGTGATAAATATTCTATAACTTTCTCTAACCAAATTTTTATTTCTCCAAAAATGTGTCTTCTTCTCAGTATAACGTGTTCTTATGGAAACTTTTTCAAATTTTTATTTTTTTTTACCAATAAAGAACACCTGAGTGATAAAAAAAAAAAAAAAAAAAAAAAACCAATAGATATGGCTTTAGTCAACAAAAAAAAAAAACCTGAGTGCTATGTGGTATGAGAAGTCGTACCTCAGATCCAGTGAATCAACCAATTAGATAGACTTTACGACAAGAAAGAAAAGATAACTAGCCGTAGGATATAGATATATTACGTTAAACGAACGGCAAAGATTTCACGGTATATTACTCGTTTCTATCTTTATTTATTTAACACTATATTTGATTACGCGTCGCTGGATTATCATTGGTGGTTTTGTGTCGAGACTCGAGAGGTTTCTTCTTCTCTATTCTTTCTTTGGTCAAGTCTTGAAGCTAATCTCAATTCTTTTAAAGAAAATTAATGGTGAGTAGTTGCGAGCTTTGCTGCGAGATCTTGATCGCGATCCTTCTTCCTCCTGTTGGAGTTTGTCTCAGGCATGGCTGTTGCACCGTAAGTCCACCTCCGAGAATTGAGATCTCTAATTTCATGTTTCTATAACCGAGAAAATCGTAGCTTAATCTGTAAGAAGCTTTACCAGATTGATTACGATTCTAGCTTTCTGTTGATTGGGATTCTGTTACTGTTTGATTGCCGAGAAATTGGATTTGACTTTGTTTGGGCGATTTCCTGAAAATTAGACTAATTTAGGGACTAGAAAGTAAAATTTGTTTTTTTTTGTTTTCTTCCCAAATTAATGATTGTTTTTTGTGTGTAATTTTATGCAGGTTGAGTTCTTTATTTGTTTGGTTCTCACCTGTTTGGGATACCTCCCTGGAATAATCTACGCCGTTTACGCCATCTTGTTCTTGAACCGCGATGACTACTTTGATGAGTGCAGACGCCCAATCTACTACGTTGCTTGATTATTTGTTCTTTCATGAAAACATATATAATATATTCGTTACTATGTAACTAATCAGTACTGTTTCTTATAACATTGAAGGTTATACGTTGTGTTGTTAAATGCTACAAATATACAGAACATGTTTCTTTAAGGCGTTTTCTTATGACCCATTTTATCAAATGCTGTGTTTATTCTGTGAATGGTGGTGACAGAGTGCAGTTAGTACGGTCGAACAACACCGCGTCACATACTTCTTATCTTCTATTCATGGCTTTGCGTCTTCAACCATTAGAAGAAACGATTCATGACCTAGAGGTCCTAGACCCATATAAAGGATAATAACTACTAATAAGTTTAATATTGAACTCCCACTCACTTCAAAATGCACACAATAAAAGCAGTACAAGAAAAAAAAACTGAAAAACAGTTGCTCACAATTGGAAAGAATAACACACAATTATACAGTAGTATTTATAATTTATAGCGTGAAGAAAACCAATAGCATGGAAAGAAGAGTAGTTCCAAAACTATATGATCTTAGTAGAGGAGATACACGGTTGGATGTTGACGGGATGTAAATAGGAATGATCCCTTTTCTTCTAACAACAATGTGAAGGTTGTTGTGTTCGGTGCCGTGCACAACAACTTTTTGATCATCATCTGATAAAGCAGAAGGAGGCTGAATTATCAATAAGCAGATGATCATGAAACAAGAACAAACCACTGAAGATCTCATCTTCTCTCTGAACTTTAATGTATCGAAAACTATATATCTCTGAAATTCACAGTAAAATTCACAGTTAATGAAAAAAATATGACCACTTGATGAGAATTTATAATCAAACACTGGTAGGTACTTAGCATTTTTTAGCATAAATTAATACAATTCAATTACAGATAAAAATTTAGTATTTCGACAGTTGTGAGCGGCACGAAATACGAATAATAATTTTGAAGTATTGCATCAAGATCAATATTTATTAAAACAAACCTTTGATTCAGAAAATAAGATTGATTTATTAACACGAAGACGATTCAAGAAGCTCACATCTGCCTAATTCAGACTTTTAACTGATTCAAGAAAATTAAATGGAAATAAGGTGTACTATTTTTTTTTCACTTGATGGGAATATACTATGTTCTAAAAATCGGCATCCTAGCCGCCTAAGTGTTAGACAACCTTCTTCCATCCTGATTTATACCAAATCGCTGTAGAAAATCGATCGTTCGATTTTATTCCGTCTAGATCGTTTAGATGACCGCCTAGCCGCCTAATCTTTTTATTTTTTTTTATTTTTAAATAATAATTTTTATCTATTTATTTGATCTACAAAATTAATAAATGTAACTTATAATTATAATTTTGATGAAAATTATATCATATTCATTATATATATTCAATTTCTGTGTTTTATAAGAATTTAAATTCAGAAAATGTATTAATATTATACACAAAATTAACATATTTCATAACATATGAAATAATCTAAAAATTCTGCTTCATATAATTTTTGATTTTTTCTTTAGATGTTAGACTCAACCGTACCGCCCGATTAGCGTCTAGCGCGTTCTCAAACATGGGAAATATATAATCCATATGTGCTAACACTACACTGGTTGATCATTTCCTTTGTAAACATATAGGTGATGTTATTTAATCTATTTTAATAGAACTTAAATCTTAGTAAAAATCATTGTTATTCAAATCATAATTTTACATTTTGTTTTAAAAACTATTGATATTGGATATGATATTTATAACCTAATTTAAAATCTGGTTTTATTTAATGAATTATTTCAATCCAGTTTTTAAAATCTAGTGTTATTCAACTTCAAAAGATTTAAAGTTTTTTATTGTATTTAAATTGATTTCAAATCATTTGTAATGGATTCTCATGAACAAATGATTGAATTCAAAATCCAATATATATTGTACAAATTTTAGAATTCATTAACTAAAAACTATGTTTACATTTAAAATTTTAATTGATTACAAAATTTGACAATTGATTTTAAATCACTGATTGAATAACATCCCCCACTAATATAATTTCATGTCTTATTTGCTTAAAATAATATTCTTTTAATATTTCGAGTAGAGAGCGGCAGTGATAATAGTTTAATTGTTTGATAAAGAATTGTTTTGCAAAGGTTGACTCTCTAAACAATAATTTGCAGATCGTTATGTTTATGGGTACTTAATTTGTAATGGGATGGCAGTATCATTTTTATAATTGATCCCGGGGCTTGTTTAGTCGATTGAATTAACCATTGACGAAGACATGTATCTATATTACAGCTGAAGAAATGAATATTATTTGGAAATATGGAGAACAGTATTAAAAATTAATATATCTAAAAATGTGTGTATCAGTATTAGAAAAGTTTTAACAATCATAATTAGTTGGATAGACAATTCTGGTCATCTTAATTTGTTTATCTCCTAAACCAACTAGATCAATTAGCCAAATAATTAAAAAAACTAGTGAAAAGATCGAAATTTTAGATATATAAATAAGAAAATAATAATTAATATGTCTATATAAATAAATTTACAAAATTAGTAGTTAGAATTTCGCTTGTAATCTTGGAAATAAAATAGTATCTAACTAGATTTTGAACCCGCACATCCGTGCGGGTATTTTTTCATTTTAAACAAAACCTTTCAAATATATATGATTTATATTCTATTGTTATATATTGTATAATTTTATAATCTTATAGTTTTAATTATTTTAATATAATATATTGTTGTAAGTTTTAAAATAAAATAAAAATTCATATACAATTTTTTATATAATGTATTTGTTGTGAGTTACAAAAATATATGTTAACATTTTTGTATAAAATATTATATGATTTAAAAACTTTAATATGTTTTAAAAGTGAGTGATATTTATTTATTTATTTGAACAAAAGAAATTTTGTAAGATAAAATATTTTTCTTTACCAATTTAATATATTTTATATTCATTTCACATAGCATTTTATTTTAATATAATATAGAATATAACTAAGTTATAAAATATAACATTTTTTAATTTTTAATTAACATTAATATAGATATTTATATATATATTAATCATGAAATTAAATAATGCATATTTTATAAAAATATTTAAACTTCTTAGTAAGATCTTGTTAGATATTCTCTCAACAAATTTATTACTAATATTATATTATTATTAAATTATTCCTTCAATTATATATATTTAATTGATTAATATAAGTACTTAAATATGTCATATTAATGAGATGGTCCAACATGACTTTTTTATAGTAGATATAAATGGTACTTCTCTTTTAATAGAGAAGATTATTTCATGCTAAAATTTCTTCCCACATCTTTATTTCTCAAGATATATATCTTCTAGCTCTCTTATCCTGCCTCCTAATTTCCTTAAAACCCGTGTGATGCCTTTCTAATTAGTTATCATAATCATCACAAACAAATATAGTCGAATTAATTATATAATATAATTTTATTTTTATAATTTCCATCTAGAATTAAGTTTTTTTTTTTTTTTGGTAAAATGTAAAGATTCTAGAATTAAGTTGGATCCAATAAAATGTTCATGTTTTAATAAAATGGATATAAACTGTATTAAATAGTGGAAAGTTTAGGATACAAATGAAATAAAATATAATATGGGGTACAATTTATTTTTTAAGCACCGATGGACAATAAGTTGTTGTGCTGATAGTCAATTTGGAAATGGTAACAGTTTTTCTGTTGTTAAAAACATTGAATAGGTAAGTCTTTTAAACATCAAAATTAATTGATATCATAATTATTTTACTCTTCAGAATAGACTTTTATTTGAAAATTTTTAATAATCAAATTTGTATTTTGATTAGGGCCCCCAAAATTTGTCTGCCTATGGGTCTTCTTCACCTGTAAAACAGAAAAAAAGATGTCATGTAGTTCACCGGGAAAAGAGACGAAGGCTGTCATGTGGTTTCCTTCTCAGCCACCAAGCAAGCGCGATGGCTCCACCAGCAAATAGAACTACAGCAGCTCCGATTGCTATTACTGTAACCGTTCGCTTCCCTAAGAGTGTCAGATAAACACAAAGTTTTCTTAATATAAACTCATTGCCAAATACCTGATGCACTGAAGAGTTTTTTTGGAAAAATCCTTGATTAATCAACCATGTGAAACGTTTCAGAAAATGGGAAATAGCTATTACAGTTCTGAGATCAAATGCTTCAGAAATGTCAAATTGAACTTATGTCTCTACTTACTCAAGCTGAAACTTTTTCCATTTTCAACACAGATCAATGGAAAATGATTTCAACACTAGTGAAAAGTCCAATTTTTTTTTATTTGCAGGTTAATCCTAGTAAAGGCATATCAAATATACAGTGAATTTTTTTTTTTGTATTTAGGTCATGTTCTATTTGAAGCAGCATCTAGACTTATCATTCAAATACAATATCTAGATATCGCATCTAGATGTTGTTCATTTTTATAGTTAATATTTGCATTCAAATACAACACTTATATGCTAAGTTTTTTTTTTTATTATTTTATAATATCATTTGAATATCTATTATATTAAAAGAGAAGTCATGACTTCTCATTCATGTGTGATTTTTTATAAAATGGACTATCTAATAGAGTTGGTCACATTATATATTTAATCATTAATAATATTCATTAGATTCACTAATAACATTTATTGGGCTTACTATAAATTTTTATTGGGCTAATAAAAATTAGATAATCCATTGAATTTATAGATAGTATAATAAAATACATGTTTAAATTAAGCTTATATACTTTAATATTGTAATAGTATAAGTTAATTAGTTATATATTTTCGATGTTAACTTTAAAAATTATATAGTTTATTTTTAAAATGACAAAAATATCATTTTCTAACAATAACTAATCTATACTATATAATAATTAATCATCATTTTCGATATACATACCTTATATAATATATCATTTTCGATATACACACCTTATATACTATATACCAATTTAGAAGTAAAAACAAAAGATCTATATAAAAATAAATGAAAACAAATACCCGCGCGGTTGCGCGGGTTGAGATCTAGTTAGTAGTTAAAAATACACATGGTTTTTATTTTTAATAATGAACTGATTATAATATCCAAATAAATATACATCAAATTAATTTTATATTTTTGCAGACAATGTGATTTTGCGGATGTTTACAGAAAACTAAAGTTTCAAGTTTTGGCGGAAAAATGCGATTTTGGCCGAAAACACAATTTCCGGTTTTGACGTACATGATTTTTTGGTATTGACGAGAAGTCACTTTTTATAGTTTTGACGGGGAATCATGATTTCTAGTTTTTGGCGGGAAAACACGATTTTATTTTTATTTTTGCGAAAAATATAATTTTACGGTTTTGATAAAAAACACAATTTTCTTGTTTGGGCAGGAAAACACAGTTTTATGGTTTCAGCGGGAAATGCAGTTTTCCGGTTTACGTTTGGCGAGAAAACATAGTTTTCTGGTTTCAGTTTTGACGGAAAAACAAGATTTTTCAATTTTGGCAGAAACAAGATTTTTCAGCTTTGATGGAAAATCATGATTTCTGGTTATAGCATGAAAAAACAGATTTTTAAAGTTTTTGTGGATAATTATGATTTTTTTATTTTGGCGAGAATAAGATTTTTTTGGTTTTGACAGGAAACAACGATTTTCTGGTTTTGGTGGAGAAACAATTTTTTTTTAATTCTGGCGGAAAAAATATTTTTATTAGTTTTGATAGGAAATAGCAATTTTCCAATTTTGGCGGGAAAATGTGTTTTTTTTTGTTCTAATGAAAAATGTGATTTTTCGGTTTTCGGAAAAATGAAATCTTATGATTTCAACGGGAAAATACAATTTTCTGATAAAAACTATTATACAATTATCATAAATAATTTTTATTTTTTATTTATATTAAAGATATTAGGTTTTTCAGATTTTAAGATGCAAACGTAGCATCTAAACATTTTTATTGGTTTTGTTAGGAAGTAACAATTTTCCGATTTTGGCGTAAAAATGTGTTTTTTTTTGTTCTCATGAATGTGATTTTTCGGTTTTCGGAAAAATGAAATCTTAGTATTTCAACGGGAAAATACAATTTTCTGATTAAAACTATTATACAATTATAATAAATAATTTTTTTTATTTTTTATTTATATTAAAGATATTAGGTTTTTCAGATTTTAAGATGCAAATGTAGCATTTAAACATTTTTATTGGTTTTGATAGGTAGTAGCAATTTTCCGATTTTGGCGTAAAAATGTGATTTTTTTGTTCTGATGAAAAATGTGATTTTTTGGTTTTCGGAAAAATGAAATCTTATGATTTCAACGGAAAATACAATTTTCTGATTAAAACTATTATACAATTATAATAAATAATTTTATTTATTTATATTAAAGATATTAGGTTTTTCAGATTTTAAGATGCAAATGTAGCATCTAAACTCTATATTTTTAGCATTCCTAATATCTTGAATTCTAGATATTATAGATGCTGCATCTGAATATTAGCATTCAGATACAACGTTTGGATACAAGAATACCGACAACCTTTTGTGTGAGTGCAAGAAAAGTGAGATATTTAGTCATGCAAAATGTCAAAATGCCATACTTAAATATAAAATACAAAACTGTGGAAGAAAATTAGCAGGAACACATAGAAGAAAATGCAAAACCTGATGGTGATGCCGGAAGCAGCCTTAAATTATTATTATTGGCAAAACTGCAGACAACTTTCAAACAATTAGTAAATTATCTAGACCACTCCATCAAGAACAACACAAGGGACAAGGAAGGAACCTAAAAGGAGTGAACCGAGAAAAGGAACCAGTAACCAGAATATCTCCACTTAGCCGATTGTTTGAGACATCCCTGCATGTCACGATGATACCATTTTCGTCATAACTCAAGATTTCACAGACGAAAATATATAAAAACTAACCAGAATGATTCAGGAGAGATAAAGTCAAACTCACAGAACTTCCAGCGACGACACATCAGTCAAGGACCTTGGAAATTCTCCAGATAAAGCATTGTTATTAAGACGCCTAACCACATATAAGATGACCATGTCATCAACTATATAACCAGTAACGAGTTCAAAATAACAATTAACAAACATCCAATACATACGAAATTAATTACAAGAAACTAGAGCTTCGTGCTGTTTGGAAATACTGGCCAAGTGGCAAGTGCATAGAGTCTTTAATCAAATGACAAAATAAAACTATTGAATTTGTAAAGATCTCCAAATAGTTTGCTATACTTGACAGTCAATCAATCTAATCCAAGGGTGGTTGAATAGTATAGAAATATAAGGAAATCTTGGAAAATGTAATAATAAAAGCTGTAAAGAGATTAGTGAGAGTATGGGTGGTTCATACAAGAATCTGAGTTTCTTTAGATTGCCAAGAGATGAAGGGATTGAGCCGCTTATGTTATTCATGTAGAGGTCCAAGCTCAACAACTCCGTCAAGACTCCAAGCTCCTCAGGTATTACTCCAGTAATGTTATTGCTAAAAAGCTCTCTGTCATTAAGCTTTGCTTCATTATATATAATTTAATAAGCGAATTGTTAGATGGGAAGTCTTTTTTTACGCTAGAGTATACTATTAACTCTAATAGGCAAAAAATTCTAAACAATGATAACTAGCAAAACAAATATAGAAAAATGGATACACACATAAGAATCCAAAGTTAGATGGAAAGTCTACTAAAATAATTTTAGAAGAAATCCATGTTAAGGAAAACATAATTTCAGTATAAACACACAAACAATATCCCTCAAAACTTGTAGTGGAAACTATATTCAAAAACAATTAAGATTGATTTAATCCCCCATATTCAAACAGAACATTTGAGAACTACTGAGCAAGTAGTGCAAATTTTCAAAATAGACAAAATTGGCTTGAGGAAGAGACGGCTTACAAGTACTGCAAATTTAGAAGCTGGCCAAGCTGTGGCACAAGTTTTCCAGATAGATCTGCATTCCCCAAGTCACTGAGCAAACATGAAGCAGTAGATTACCAAAAGGCTTGAATTATTTCTCTTAAAAACCCGCACATAGAAAGAGAGAGCGACCTTACACACGAATAACTTTCTCCTCATTAGTGCAAGTAACATGAAACCATGAACAAGGAGTAAGCTCAGTGGCATTCCAGCTTTGTAATACATTGACAGGGTCAGATAAACTAAGTCTCAGCGCAGTTAAAGCATCAACTGCAATCATAAAAGGGAAATAGGTTATGAATGAATGAATGATGCACACCAAATCATAATACAGAAACAGAAGAAGAACCTTCGGCGTTTCCAGCGACTCTGAAAAGTAAATCGAAAAGTAGGAATATCGAAATGAAGCTACGGTGTGATCTTCCTTGTTCCATTTTTCAACTTGTCAGAGTGAAAGCAAGGCCACCATATATAGAGCGCTTCTGAGTTTTAGAACCATCGACACAAGAGCGAAAAGTCTTCTTCTTGTACGCGTTTATGTCCCTACTTTATTAAACAGGTAAATGAACAGTATAATCTTAACGTATACAGCATGTGATAAATAAATCTTAATGTAATCAATATATATTTAAATATAACAGAAAAAATAATCTGCAGAACCAATAATAAATCTAAAACCTATGGTACGACACTGCCATTAAATATAAAATTTTCAACGTGACACAAATGAAAGGCAATATCAAACTGTTTTAGAATCATACAACCCTGAGATCTATCACGTGGTAGAAGGTAATAAATAATACACAGTTGGAATATTAAAAGAGATTATTTGCTCCCACACCCTTTTTGGGGTCGATATTAGAGAAATATCCTTGATGGGACTGATCTTTTTTTTTATGACCAAATTGCCCTTTCTCTCTCTTTCATGCATGTGGGTTTGTCAGAATTTTTTTTCCTTTTCGTTAGAAACACTCTCTCTCTTTCTCTCATTCTTTCTTCAATTATATTTGTTCTCTTCTCTTCTCTTTTTCTTTCTTTTCTCCCTGTAATTTAATTGAATGTTGAAAGAAAATTTGTTATTTTTTTTTAATCTACTTTGATTTTTAAAAAAGAAAGTTAAAAATCTATCAGTCTGTTAACACCTCCGATACGTATATTTGTTAACAACTAACACCTCTGTTAACATCGGGAACATGTTTTTGTTAACAGCTAAAATATCTGTTAACATCTACATTATTTATTAACAGCTAACATCTACGTTACCATCTTTGGTACATCT